CAGCAAGACCTCATATCTACAATAAATCAAAAAATCAGCCGGGCGTGGGAGCGCGCGCCTGTCATTCCGGCTACTCAGAAGGCTGAGGCGGAAGGATCGCCGGAGCCCAGCAGGTCGAGGCTGCGGTGGCCGGGAGCGGCCTCTGCACTCCAGTCTGGGAGACCGAGTGAGACTCCACCTCAAAAAAAAAAGAATGCAAAGCAAAGACTAGTGATCCTGGGCAAAGAAAAAAAGTCGAGGCTGGGTATCATCGCTCACGCCTGTAATCTCAGCACTTTGGGAGGCAGAGGTAGGAGGATTACTTGAGTTCAGGAATTCAGTACCAGCCTGGGCACCACAGCAAGACCTCATCTCTACAATAAATAAAAAAAATCAGCCGGGCTCGATGGCTCAGCCTGTAATCCTGCACTTTGGGAGGCTGAGGTGAGTGGAATACCTGAGCCCGCGGGTTCGAGGCCTGCCTGGGCAACTTGGTGAGACCTCAACTCTACAATAAGTCCAAAAAAACTAGCTGGGCATGGTAGCACGTGCATGTAGTTCCAGCTACTTGGAAGGCTGAGGCGGAAGGATCGCTGGAGCCCAGTAGGTCAAGGCTGCAGTGGCCAGGAGCGGCCACTGCACCCCAGTCTGGATGACAGAGTGAGACTCCAACTCAAAAAGAAACAAACAAAAACAAATAAATAAAAATTTTTTAAAAATTAGCCAGGCATGGTGGCATGCACCTGTAGTCTCAGCAACTTAGGAAGCTGAGGTGGAAGGATCGCCCAAGACAGAAGATCAAGGCTGCGGTAAGCCATGATCGTGCCACTGCACCCTAGCCTGGGCAACAGAATAACACCCCATTTCAAAAAAAAGAAAAAAGTTGAATAAGATGTGAAGCCAACAAACATTTACTGAGCTACTAGGTGCAAAGTGTGGGGAGAGACACCCCTTGCCTCTCAATGAACAAGACCTTCAAGCGAGGTCAGCATGCTAGCTGGAGACGACCAATGTGGCACGTGCCCTTAAATGAGTCCCTTTGGAGCAGAAAGAGTGACATGGGGTTGGAAGATGGCTTTGTCCATCAAATGAGAGGAGGAACAGGGGGGGAACGTGCAAGGAGGGCACCTCGCAGGCAGGTGGCTGTCCCGGCACCTGTGCTTCCCTGAGTAGACAGTCAGTCCACCCTTTCTGGGGGCAGGGAGAAGGGCTGCAGCTCCCAGGCAGCCAGGAGCCAGGCTGGGCTTGGCGTCCTGCAAGTGTCCCACCTCCCAACCCCAGGTGCTGCATACATGAGGGTTCGCTTCCCTCTACATGGTCCCCAATTTGAGAAAGAGGAGCTTGGGAGGGTGGTCAAAGGCCACCTCTCCAGGGAAGCCCCCCGAGTCCGCAGTCAGGTCAAGCTGTGCTGCCCTGTACCTCACAGAGCCAGGCTATGCTCTCTTGCAGACCCTCGCCGCGTGATTTCACATGCACCCACGGTTTGTGTGACCCACGTCTAACGCCCCTGCTGGACCAGCTCCAGGAGAGTGGAAGCCCACCTGTGTCTGTTCACCCTTGTGCCTGCAGGGCTTGAATCACAGCAGGTACATACATATTTGCTGAATGAGTGAAGGAGGAATGAATGAATGCATGCATCCTGTTGATTTTGGGGTAAGGGGAGGCAGGTGCTGGTGGAGTGAGGGGAAATCCTCGCCCAGTGATTCGGAAGTTCCAAAGCCTGGAAGCAGGTTTGCAGCAACGTGTGTTTGGTGACCGCGACATGGCCTCGTTTTCACCCCCGCAAGTGGTGTGGAGGAGTGGTTGCCCTCAGGCTGGAGCAGGCATAGCACTCATGGATTTATCATCACCCAGTGCTATGCATGAAACCACACATGGTTGTTCATTTCTGAACCTCAACGGGATTTCTGGCACAAGTGAGCATGCGGGTTAGTTTGGTGAATCAAATATACCAATGGAGCCGGGCGTGGTGGCTCACGCCTGTAATCCCAGCACTTTGGGAGGCGGAGGTGAGAGGATTGCTTGAGCCCGGTGGTTCAAGACCAGCCTGGGCAATGTGGCGAGACCCCGTCTCTACAGTAAACCAAAAAATTAGCTGAGCATGGTGGCGCATGTCTCTGGCTCTAGCTACTTGGAAGGCTGAGGCGGAAGCATCGCCTGAGCCCAGCAGGTCGAGGCTGCAGTGGCCGTGAGCGTGCCATTGCACCCAGCCTGGGCAACAGAGTGAGATTCCTACTCAAAATACATATATGTGTGTGTCCTATATATGACAATACAGAAGGAGAGAAGGAAAAGAAAGAGAGGAAGGGAAGGAGAGAACTGGAAGAGGAAAGAGAGGAAGCAGCGCCATTATACCCTGGGCAGGGACATGACGGGAGCCGGGGTCACACATACCTTCCGAGTTTGTAGTGCCATCGCGACAGTGATTGGGGGGCTAGCAAATACAGATACTCGAGCCCTGCCCTGAACCGTCACACACACACCCTGGCTCTGGCCAGGCCCACAGCGGCTCCCCCAGCCCCCAGCCCCTCTGCCGCCCCACCCTCACCTGCAGATGGTGGGATGTGAGGACGGGCCTCTTCCCCGGACACCAGACGTCCTCCTTCAGCTGCCTCAGGGCCTGGAAACACTTCCGGCGGCAGCCCTCGTCCTCGTCCAGCTGCTGCAGCAACACCTGCTCGGCACGCAGGAAGCTCAGCTGCCAGTGATAACTTGCACGGGCCAACAAGTCAAACCCGAATGACTGGGTGGAGAGAAAACATTGGGAAATAAGGAAGCCGAGTGCGGAAGTCGAGAGCCATTTCTGAAGCAGCCCGCCCGTCGGGGGGCCTCGTCACCGAGCAGGCGGCACGTCCGGTGTGGGAACAAGAGCGGGGCAGCAGGGACCACAAGCCACGGTGGATGTGGAGGCCACTTTCTGTCCTGAAGCTCTCCAGCCTGAGCGTGCCTCAGATTGACATCACCAGGAGGGCTTGTTAAAACACAGACCGGCCGGGCCGCGGGCTCACGCCTACAATCCCAGCACTTTGGAAGGGGGAGGTGAGAGGGCTGTCTGAGCCCGTGGGTTCAAGACCAGCCTAGACACCTTGGCGAGACCTCATCTCTATGATAAGTCAAAAATTAGCCAGGCACGGTGGCGCATGCCTGTAGTTCCAGCTACTTGGAAGGCTGAGGAGGAAGGGTCACCTGAGCCCAGGAGGTCAAGTCTGCGGTGGCCATGAGCGTGCCACTGTACTCCCAGTCTGGGCAACAGAGTGAGACTCTTACTCGAAAAACAAACAAACAAACAGACAAAAACCCCCACAGATTGCTGGGCCCTCCCTACTGGGTGTCACTCGGCAGGTCCAGAGTGGGGCCCGGGACTCTGTGTTTCTAACAGGTTCTCAGGTTTAATACTGGTCCAGGGTCCACACACTGAGCCTTGCTGCTCTGGCCAAAGAAACCTCAGCTTTCCTTTGGAAGCTGGTTGGCGGTCACGGATGCTGTGTGTCTCTGCTGTGGTGAACCGGGGTCCTGCCCGCTGATACCTTGATGCACTCCACTCTCTCTGGGGAGGGCCAACGCTTCAGGCACCGAGGCCACCGGGCTTTCTTTGACCAGGTGGTGGGGATCTCCACGCTGGGGGCCAGCTCTAGTTCCACCTGACAGGCGCATGTTTCCACGGCAACCCAAACTGCAGATCGGTTCTCCAGCATACTGACCTTAGCTGGTGAGAAATGGCCAACGAGAAGAGAAAGGCGAACTCAGTACACCTGTTCGGGGAAGGAATTTGCTAGCAGTTGCTCTACCTGTGCATGGCGACTGGTGGGGCAACCTTGACAAAGTCAGTAGCACATTAAGGGTGGGTATTGGGGCAGGGGGGAGGGTCGGGCTGGGTCTGAGCCCACGGGTTCGAGACCAGCACCGGCAACTTGGCGAGACCTCATCTCCACAGTAAATAAAAGATTAACCTGGTGTGGTAGCACACACCTGTAGTTCTGGCTACTTGGAAGGCTGAGGTGGAAGGATTGCCTGAGCCCAGCAGGTCGAAGCTGTGGTGGCCATGAGTGTGCCACTGCACTCCAGCCTGGGCAACGAAGTGAGACTCCAACTCAAAAAAAAGAAAGAAATATCATTGCTGCTGGGGATTTCCTTTTTTCTTTCTCCCCTAACTCTAGGGCTTTTATGGTAACTTATTCTTTTAAATTAATAGATTCTTTTCAGAAGGGTCAATCGAAAGAAAAAAATCATAGAATAAAAAGAAAAGTTAGGGTTACATTCTGATGGGCCCACCCTAAATAAGTTGAAAATAGTATAAGTTGCAAAAAATGTATGAATACACTGAACCTACCGAACATCATAGCTTAGCCTCACCTACTTTAAATGTGCTCAAGCTGGGCACAGTGACTCATGCCTGGAATCCTAGCACTTGAGGAGGCAGAGGTGAGAGGATTGCCTGAGCCCACGAGGTCAAGCCCAGCCTGGGCAACAGGGTGAGACCTCGTCTCGACAGTAAGTCAAAAAATTAGCCAGGCGTGGAGGCGCATGCCTGTAGTTCCATCTTCTTGGAAGGCTGAGGCAGAAGGATCGCCTAAGCCCAGCAGGTCAAGGCTGCGATGGCCGTGAGCATGCTACTGCACCCTAGCCTGGGTGACAGAGTGAGACTCCAACTCAAAAAAAAAAAAAAAAATACGATAGTTTTTCCTTTGTTTGTCTTCATTATAGATAAGGATGCGCTGTCTTGAATCGGGATCTATTATTTTTCTTTTCTTTGCTCAGAGAAGAACTTGCAGGTTTATTGTTATGCTGTTCAGAAGAGAAACTTTCCTCTCCCGGGCCCAGGGTGGGATAAAAAGCTATTGTCTGCATCTCATCAGAGCCACCCAGACAGGAACGTGGCAACAGGAACTTTAATATTATTTCCTGAAAGCACCAGGTCAGTCTGGCCCAGTTTGAATCTCGGCTTTGCACTTTCACTATAAATAATGTTGCTCATTATACAGGGCTGGAGCCAGCTTGCCTGCCCACACCCTGCTCTGCTTACAAGGTGTATGCCCTTCAGCAAGTTACTTTATCTAAGTCTCAGTTTTCTCATCTGTAAAACAGGTAGAGCCGGGCCGGTGGCTCAAGCCTGTAATTCCAGCACTTTGGGAGGCAGAGGTGAGAGGATTGCCTAAGCCCAAATGTTCAAGACCAGCCTGGGCAACTTGGTGAGGCCTTGTGTCTACAGTACATCAAAAAATTAGCCGTGCGTGGTGGTGCACGCCTGTAGTTCCAGCTACTTGGAAGGCTGAGGTGGAAGGATCACCTGAATTTAGCAGGTCAAGCTGCGGTGGCTGTGAGTGTGCCACTGCACTCCAGCCTGGGCAACAAAGTGAGACTCTGACTCAAAAAAAAAAAAAGTTTTCTTAATGGTAATAATTCATGTTTAGTGAATTTTTAATAAATAGAGAACACTTTCATGGATTATTTAATTGTCATAACAGCTGGGCATGGTGGCTCACACTTGTAATCCCAGTACTTTGGGAGGCTGAGACAGGAAAATTGAGCTTAGGAGTTTAAGACCAGACTAGGCATCATGGTAAGGTCTTGTCTCTTCTTTATTTTTTTAAAAATTATAAAATTAAAAGACTAATTTTTATAACAACCTAATAACATAAGAATACTCTTTCTACCTGTTTTTTCACCTCTTTCTACCACAGGCATGTGCCAGCACACTTGGCTAAGTTTTAAAATAATTTTATTGTAGATACAAGGTCTCACCAAGTTGCCCAGACTGATCGTGAACTCCTGAGCTCAGGTGATTCTCTTGCCTCCACCCCCAAAGTGCTGGAATTACAGGCATGAGCCACCATACCCAACTGTTATGAGAATTAAATAACCCATGAAAGTGTCATCTATTTAGTAAAAATTATTACCATTATAGAAACTTTCAGAACTATTCTGTCTAGACAAGCAAACGTATATATGAAAGCATTCTTTCATTTCTACACAAAGGTGCTCTCGTACTGTTTAGCAGTTTGGTTTTTTTACTTAACGGTCTAGCACATGCATTGTTCATGGCTCTGTGTCTGTATGTGCAGATGCCTGCATGCCTCATAGTTTTTAAAGGCTGCATAGCTGGGCATGGTGGCTCATGCCCATAATCCCAGCACCTTGGGTGGCCGATGTAAGAGGACTGCCTGAGCTCAGAGGTTAGAGACCAGCCTAGCAACTTGGTGAGATCTCATCTCTACAATAACTCAAAAAACTAGTCAGGCATGGTGTTGCACACCTGTGGTTCCAGATACTTGGCAGGTTTAGGCGGAAGGATTGCCTGAGTCCAGCAGGTCAAGGATGCAGTGGCCGTGAGCATGCCACTACACTCCAGCCTGGGCGACAGAGTGAGACTCCAACTCAAAATAATAATAATAATAATAATAATAATAATGCTGGGTGCAGGCTCACACCTGTAATTCCAGCACTTTCGCAGGCGGAGGTAAGCGAATTACCTGAGCTTGAGGGTTCAAGACCAGCCTGAGCAGCATGGCAAGACCTCATCTCTACAATCAAAACATCACCAGATGTGGTGCTACTTGGAAGGCTGAGGCAGAAGGATTGCCTGAGCCCAGAACCCAGCAGGCTGAGGTTGTGGTGACCATGAGCGTGCCACTGCACTCTGACCTGGGCGACAGTGTGAGACTCAGGCTAAAAAAATAACAATAATAATAATAATAATAATAATAATAATAAAGGCCGCATAGTAGTCCACTAGGCCAAGGAAGCATAATCTAATTTAGCTATTTTTGTTTGTTAGCCATTTAGATTATTTTTAGCTAGTTACTACTACAAAACCTGTGGCAAAATATATCCTGGTGCATATTTCTCTGTGTATTTGTAGAAATATATTTCTAGAAGAGGAATTGCTGAATTGTAAAGTAAGCACATTATGCAAATAAAAAAATGAACAAATTGCCCTTTAAAACAGAGGGTACCAATTTACAGATTTATACTTCTAAGAATAATATATGAAAATACATGTTTCACCATGCCCACCACAACACTAAGCACGATTACACTGTATACCTCTTTTAAGCTGTTCAGTTTTTTGTTTTTGAGTCAAAGTCTCACTCTATTACCCAGGCAGGGGAACAGTGACACAATCACAGCTCACTGCAGCCTCTACCTCCTGGGCTCAGGCAATCCTTTTGCCTCAGCCTCCAGAGAAGCTGGGACTACAGACATACACCACCATGATTGGCTAATTTTTAAATTTTGTTGTAGCGACGAAGTCTTGCTATGTTGCCCAGGCTGGTTGCTAATTCCTGGGCTTAAATAATCCTTCTGCCTAGGCTTCCCATTGTGCTGGGAACACAGGCAGGAGCCACCACGCCCAGTCTTAACTGTTAGGTATTTTAATGTACCTAACATTAGATGCATTCTCATGTATCTTGAAATATGTATTAGATGAAATTCCTTTTCATATTTTCACCAATCATTTGTGGCTTTTTTTGTATTTTTTGCTTTTTTTGAGCCAGAGTAAGCCACTGTTCCCAACCTTTACCAATCATTTGTATTCTTTTCCGTGATTCATTTTTGGGGGGTCTTATTTCTATTGTTCAGTTCATCTTTTTTCTTATTCGCTTACAAATATCATTTTATAATTAAGAAAACTGGGCCAGGTGTGGTGGCTCACACCTATAATCCCAGAACTTTGTAAGGCTGAGGTGATAGGATTGCCTGAGCCCACAGGTTCAAGACCAACCTGGGCAACTTGGTGAGACCTCATCTCTACAGTGAATCAAAAAATGAGCCAGGTGTGGTAGCACATGCCTGTAGTTCCAGCTTCTCAGAAGACTGAGGCGGAAGGATCGCCTGAGCCCAACAGGTCGAGGCTGCGGTGGCCATGAGTGTGCCACTGCACTCCAGCCTGGGTGACAGAGTGAGACTCCAACTAAAAAAAAAAAAGAAAAGAAAACTGGCTATTTTTACCAGTTTGAAATTCATCTTTTCACTTTAAGTGAACACAAAGCGTGTGTGTGTGTGTGTGTGTTCACACACTGACATGCACCCATCTGCTGCTCTGTACCGTAGTTTAAGATTTGGGGTTTGTCAGACTTAACGAGTTCTTTATGTCTCGTGGATGTTGTGTTTTGTTACAAGTTGGTGGTCTCCAGATGTGGTATCTCAGCATACTGTGGTACTGCAGTCAGATCGTGGGTACTGCAGTAGAAACGTGCTAGTAATAAGATCTGGGGTTTGGGGATAATTTGCTTTGCAAAAAATACACTTAAGTTGTTAAGCCAACATGCTGGAAATGGTGTAGAACCCATAGCCTGCCATATCTATGCCAGAACAGTAATCTACTTAAATCCATGGAAGTGTTTGTGAGTATGAATTCTAATCTTGTGTATCGCAGTAGAAATAAAGGCTAATTCATATTATGAAGATTGAACAGATGTAAAGAGCATATGATTAGTATCTCAAACTAGGGGTATGGGCTTCTGAGAACACCCAAGCAGAGGTTTTATACATCAAAAGGGAAGTGCTGGCAGGGTGCAGTGGCTCAAGCCTATAATCCCAGCACATTGGGAGGCCGAGGTGAGAGGATTGCCTGAGCTCACAGGTTCAAGACCAGCCCCGGCAATTTGGCGAAACCTCATCTCTACAATAAATCAAGAAAAATTAGCCAGGCATGGTGACACATGTCTATAGTTCCAGCTACTTGGAAGGCTGAGGTGGAAGGATCCCCTGAGCCCAGTTGATCGAGGCTGCAGTGGCTGTGAGTGTACCACTGCACTCCAGCCTGGGCAACAGAGTGAGACTCCTACTCAAAAAATAAATAGAGAGAGAGAGAGAGAAGTGCCAGCAATTTCTCTTGTACTTTCTCCTGATCGGCTCACCTGAGAGGTGACAATTTCTAATTGCGTTTTCCACCAGCTTCCGGAACACCTGGAGGACCTTGGCGGGCACAATGTCTCCCTCGATGTTCACATCTGTCTCGTGCCACTGCCACAGGATCTTCCTAAACTGCTCCGCCTCCAGCCACTGCTGCAGGCCCTCGGGGTCCCGCAAGGGGAAGGTTCGCAGCCTGACGCCCTGCACCGTGTAGTACCGCCAGCGCTTCTCTCTGGCTTCCCTGTACCCAGCCAGGCCCTTTACTGGGACTGTAACGAGGAACTGACTGGGCGCCAAAACCTGAGGTCAGGGAAAGAGAGAAAACAAGCATGAGTTCCTCACGGACTCAGGAGATAACCTTAAGTCTGAGGAGCCAAGCTGAGGAGCCAGACAGCTCAGGGCACCCGCTCTACCCTCAGCCATGCGATGGGGTAGACTGAGGCCTAGACCTGGGCATTGCAAGAGGATCCCAACTACACCCTGACACAGACCCATTGTAAGGCTTTGGGCGGGTAGAGTCATCACTGAGTTTTGGATTTCACGAATCCGCAAGTACGAAAACAAAACAAACAAACTAGCTTTGGAACTCTAGAGGAGACCCAAAGTTTCCAGAAGAAAAGGGAGAAGGAAATAGTATCGAGTTCCATGCAAACTAAGCCCTGCAATTCTCACGCATTTGCCCACTTGATTTTCATGACCACACAGTGAGGTGCGCTTTGTTACCATTTCCCAGATGAAGAACCCAAGGTTCGGGAGGGTCCCCAGTATCTCCCCAGGGACACACAGCCGATCAGTAGGAGACCCAGAATTTGAGCTGAGGTCTTTGGATAGCTTGTTCCGTGGTTACTTTTCTACCCTGGGCTGGTTGTCAGTCAAGAATGAATGATACGGAATCGTGAAAGTCATGATTTGAATAAAAGTTAGGAAGGGAGGGGAGAGGAGGTGAGTGGAGTTTGCAAAATGACTTCCTTTGCCTTTGTACTAATGGCCCCTGGTCAGTATGATTGGCTTACAGAATCAAGGGGGAAATGAAAGGCTGTTTTGCCAATGTGAGCTACTAAGATGACTAAGTTTAATTTAAAAAAAAAAACCAGATAGTCAGGATCCTCCTACTTGCTTTCTTTAGGAACCAGTAGGCATGATGGGAGAAAGCAGTCTGGCCAACAGTCAAGGGATAGAACAAGTTACTCAGTAGTGGAGCCCTGCCAAAGAGAACTTGAGCTTTGACTTTGTCCCCTGGCAGTCCGCTCCATGGTGCCCCTTCCCCTGGAAGTCAGCTTCCTCCTCTCCGTGGAAAGTTCTGACAATGGAGTTTGCTAACCCTTGCTCAAGGCCAGGTCATTGACCCATTCAGAAGCAAACACCAAAATCAGCTCCAACTGATTCTACCTCCCTCTCAGGAAGTAATAGTTTGATGTTTGAGATGATATGTTCACATGTCTTCTGGTGTCCGTAGAAAGGTGGCTGGATTTAAAAAGAGGAAAAGAAGTCTCAAGTATAGAATTCAAGATCTGTACAATATAGGAATTTGCTTGCATGTGCATTCAAAAGCACAGCAATGCTGGGCCTGGTGGCTCACGTCTGTAATCCTAGCACTTTGGAAGGCGGAGGCAAGAGGATCGCTTAAACTTAGGGGCTCGAGACCAGCCTGGGCAACTTGGTGAGACCTCATCGCTACAAGAAATTAAAAAATTAGCCGAGCATGGTGGCAGACGTCTATATTTCCAGCTAGTTGGAAAGTTGAAGTGGAAGGATCGCCTAACCCCAGAAGTCAAGACTGCGGTGGCCATGAGCATGCCACTGCACTCCAGCCTGGGCAACAGAGTAAGACTCCAACTCAAAAAAAAAAAAAAGAAGCATAGCTATCATGTTGCTAGTCATATAAATGGTGCTTAATAAATACTTGTCAAGCCGGGCTCGGTGGCTCAGCCTGTAATCCCGCGCCTTTGGGAGGCTGAGGTGAGTGAATTGCCTGAGCCCACGGGTTCGAGACCCGACTGGGCAACTTGGTGAGACCACTTCTCTACAATAAATCAAAAATTAGCTGGGTGTTGTAGCACGCGCCTATAGTTCCAGCTACATGGAAGGCTGAGGCGGAAGGAGCGCCGGAGCCCAGCAGGTCGAGGCTGCGGTGGCTGGGAGCGGCCCACTGCCCTCCAGTCTGGGTGACAGAGTGAGACTCCAGCTCAAAAATAAATAAATAAATAAATAAATAAATACTTGTTGAGTGTGGTCCAAGATAAAACAAAATCAATTCTTATATGTTAAACTGTCACTATTTTCAAAAATATAATATGTAAGACATGACATATACCGATACAGAATAGATATTAAGCTTATAAATTCTAAGTGGGACCACGGAAGGAGGTTCTCTTGGGTCTGGTACTAAGAAAAGTGATGTAATATCTCTGTTTCTAGTCACTGTTCTACATTTGTCCAAAGTAGATTGGCCTGGGGTGGTAGAGGCTGGCATGTTATGATATTCCAGGATTCAATCTCGTGATTTCCTAAAATCTGACCCTACCTTAAAATCCACAAATTCCAGAATCTTGTGGGTGATCTTGTGTCCTTGAGCTACACTAGGCCAGTGATGGTCTTTTTCTCACGTACTAATTCTTTTGCTCATTTTTTTATTCATTCATTCAACATAAGTTGAGTGTCTACCGTGTGCCACACACCATGCTGGGTGCCAGGAATAAAACAATCAATAAACATGGTCCTGGCAATAAGGGACTTACCGTCTGCTGTGAAAAACAGGCCACAGATACATATTATAGATTTAATACAAGGCTAAGGAGGCTCCTATGTGGCGTAAGAGAAATTGAGATGAAAAATGGCGGGGATTCCAGGTGATCCACAGTCTCACTTCTCTCATCTCTAACGTGGAGATAACCGTACTGCCTTTTCCACAAGGTGGTCCACAGGTTTCAGGGAGATAATTCCTGTGAGAACAGCTTTGCTTTCACCACAGTGTTGCACAAATGCTGGTTGTCACACACTGGCCCCTGTGGCTTACACTGGGTGACATTTCCCAGCAGGGGAAGGGATTGGCAGGCTGCTTCCGCAGATTTCTGGGGCCACCTCTTCTGCTTTCTTTCCCCACTCGCAATCCACAGACTATCACTCTCAGCTGTTTTCTGGTTGATGTCTTCCGCTCCCTCTGCCAAGTTCGCATCTAGGAAGTGGATGCCTGATAAATGAACATGTGCTCAACTGAGCTTTATTTACTATGTTTCTGAGCATGTGTCTCACTCTGCTGCCTAGGCTGGAGTGCAGTGGTACAATCATGGCTCACCGCAGCCTCGACCTCCTGGACTTAGGAATCCTCTCTCTTTGGCCTCCTGAGTAGCAAGGACTACAGGTGTGCACCACAAGGCCTGGATAAGATTTTTGGAATTTTTTTTTTAATATCCCCAAAGCAGCATCTATTTATCCATTGAACTCCAAAACATTTATTTTAGAAGTCTGGCATTTCATAATCACCCATCTTGATTGACATGGGCTGACACACGTGGCGCTGTCAGGATACACAAGGACAATAGCCAGAGTTACAAAAAAATAAATCCATGATTCTTAAACAATCGCAACCAAAAAAAAAGTTACAAGTATCAAAACTTTAGATGCATTGCACTGAAAAGAAGCTTTGTGCACGTCATAATTTAAAGAGGCAAAACAAGGAGCTACTGAAACCTCACTTTTTGGAATTTTATTTATTTATTTATTTATTTGCTTGTCTATTTATTTATTTATTTATTTTGTAGAGGCAAGGTCTCGCTATGTTGCCTAAACTAGTCTTGAACTCCTGGACTCAAGCAATCCTCCACCTTGGCCTCCCAACATGCTGGGATTACATGAGTAAGCTGTAGTGCCTGACCATTAACTGAGCTTTAATTGTTTCAGTGCAACGTGCTTTGGCATCAGAAGCCTCAGTGTGAATTCCGGCTTTAGCACCTAACATGATTTGATCAACTCCTTTAACGCCTTTGAGCCCAGTTTTTAACATCTAGGAATGTGGGGACACAAATGAAATAACATGTATGAAGTGAGATTGTAAGTGGTAAATACTGAGAATACCTGTGGGAACGAACATGAGGTAAGTGCCCTCAGTGGGATTAGGACCTGTCACACACCGAGTTGACCCACCCAAGCGTCCTGGCTCTGCTGGTGGGCACTAAGAGACATTGAGCCATCCTTGCCTTAATGTTCCCGTTGTACGAGTCAGAGTAAGGCACGGCTTGAAATCGAACGTCTTGGTGGCTGATTTCTGTGGTCAAACGGTGGACAACTTTCTGCACCTCCTCCAGAGCCTCAGAAATCTGATGACGCCTTGCATCCACCTGTGTGTGAAGGGACCAGAAAAGGAGGTTACTTCTCGTGTGGGCCCCAAGTATGGTGTAAGGAAGTGACAAGGGCACAGCTGGAGGTGACCGGAGGAGTTCATCTCTGAAACCCTCCCTCCCAAGACTGATTCTGATTCTGACAGAGACAAACTTGTCAGTGCCTCAATGCTCTCTTTGGAAACAGATGCATTTGTTTAATATATCTCTAGAATCTACTAGGTGGCAGGTGCCAGTTCAGGTGCTGGGGACACGACAGTGAGGAAGACAACAGCAAACAATACAGACACTTGCCTTCTAGTTGAAAATACAAGATATGTGCATAAAAGTATGTGCGTGCATAAGGTAATGTCAGGTATGACACGTCCCACGAAGAACAGGATAAGGGACTGAGAACAAAGGGCTGTTCTCGGAAGGATGGACAGGGAAGGCTTCTCCAAAGAGGTGACATGTGAGTAAGCCATGAAGATGGCTCAGGAGAGCGGATTCCAGGGCCCTAAGGCAGAAGCATGCCTGGTCAAACCCGAGGGCCAGCGAGGAGGCCACTGTGGTTAGAGCCCAGGAAAGGAAAAGGGAAGTGACAGGAGCTGAGTTCGGAAGGACGAGCTGGGGCCAGGTCATCACGAAGGGATTTATGAGCCATGGTGAGGTCTTGCCGTGGCATGAGAGTGCCTGCTGCCCAGGGGAGCAAATACCAAACAGTTCAACATGGATCCACACGCAGCAGACTGGCCTCCACCGTGCATCAATAAAAGATTTTCCTCTTTGCCTCTGTACTCACCCCCTCC